ACTCATATATTCTCAACCTGACAGAATTAAAACTCAGGGAAACTGACAAATTATTTGCTATAAAGTTTCGAAGTCAAGAGTAGAACTACAGTATCTTCACAGTTCTGTAGAGTTGAGAAGCTTCTTTTTCCATGTGAGGCAGCAGACTTCAGAAATAAATTTACTTTCACCAGCAAACATAGTAGCAAGCAGGGCAAAGTACAAAGCAATATGCAACTAGGAGATAGTTTCAACTAGCTTGCTGGTCACAACTACTTCCTGTCTAATGATTTAATGAACTGCTTTGAGTCTTAGGCGTTGTTTCCAAGGTAAGTTATACTGCCTGAGCTCAGGCATTTTGTTTCAGGTTAAGTGTTGTTTGGCTTTTTGTTTGTTTGTTTTGTAATTTCACATAAACAAATACTTAAGACTTTCTTGTCCTCATATTTTGTTATGCATGTTAAGAAGCAGTCTGAGCCCTATAAAAACTTTTAACTGCTATGATGTGAATGAGGAATTGAGCCTCTGGACATATAAAAGGTGCATCAGAAAACCAATACTTAAACTTGAATTTCACGAGTGCTTACAACCTGGCTCATGAAGTTACTTCTCTTCTCCCTATCATTGCTAATCTTAATATTTCTCCTACAGTTCTACATCAATGCTTTACTCACAGTGGCCTACAAAGCAAAACACCATCAGTTGAGTTAGTGCTATCAAAAGATACCTTTCTGATTGCGACAGTGCAACACAGTAGAAAGGGCAGCAATAAGAACATAGTAGCAAAGTCCTGGGCTACAGCAAGAAAAAACATGCTAAAATATAGCAGCTACAGACACAGAAGCAAAGCAACAAACCTACTAACCTTTGGAAGGCCTCAGGCACACAGGGAGCTCCACCAAAGCAGGATTGCCTTCACTGCCTTCCCTTAAATGAGGTCTGGAAGGAGTGGCTCCTGGCTCCACCCCTTCTGGTCACACAGATGCACTGCATGCACCTGAGCTCTCCTGGGTTGGCCCTGCCTTCCCACCAGGTGCTCAGTTACTGCTTCAAGCCATGACTTAGCATTTCTGCTATGCTGATGTATGTGGCTGTTTTAAATACTGCCAGCATTTAGATGCAGCTCTGAAAAAGTTTTAGAAGTAATCTTCCCTTGTGTGTGTAGTGGGTATATATAAGGAACTCTTTTCTTGGTGGATGTAGGGAGAACTCTTAGAAAGCTGATGCAAACAAGCTTGTGTTTGAATTGTGATTCTTGTAATAAAGAAAAGGGAGCAATTAATGTGGTAATACACATCATTTACATTTCAAAGGGTATTTCATGTGATCAAGCCTTACTCACACTAGCAGTGTTAATTTTTATGCTGAAATATTTGTGTATATGTAATTTTTAAAAATAGATACTGTAGGATCATACAGTTGTGGGGTTAGTACTCTGATTTATGATTTTCAAGTTAAGTAAAAAACAAAAGTCTTGTGAAAGGGCCTGATTGTGTGACATTTCCAATGTCAGAAAAATATACCTCCCTTGCTTGGAAGCTTAAGCTTATGTTACTTAAGATGTGGAAGTTAAGAGTTGCTCTATCTCCAACATACTGCTGTTAATGTCTTTTTTGTCTGTAACCTGCAGTTGAGAGCTGGCAAGGTGTTTGTCTTGCTTTGATACATGAAATTCAGAAAAAATCCTCCCCTCCAAAAAAGAAAAAAAAAAAAAAAGAAAAAAAAAAACTCAGCAATGAAACAGTAATGGAACAAAAAACAAAAACAGGTCAAATTCTTAATAATGTTTTCTTTATTGTGTGACTGAAATAAAAACTATGGGAGAAACATCAAGTAAAATTTACTTCCCACTTAGTTACAATGGTCAGGGAGAGTCATACATTTTTCAGATTTCTAGCAACAATATTGAGGGCTTCTACTGGAAATCCAGGGACAAGTAATAACGTACTGGCAAAACTTGAACTCTTCTAACTGCATGCAGAAAATACAAACTAAGATTATTAAATGTCTTCTATGTGGTATCAGCAATTGGTAGTAGGAAAAGTTAAAGGCTATTTTGAGAAGATTCCTTGACTGCTTGGCGTTAGAAAAATTAGTTATGTGTTACCCAAATCAGTGTTTTATCTAGTCATAGGAACAAGCTGTAGTTTTGTTTGAAAAAGCTTGAGGAAACAGCTGATGTTAACTGGGTTAATTAAAGCTTATTGCAACTTAGTTTTGAACCTGTTCAGGAAACTTTGTGGTTTATAGTGTTTTCAATGAGAACAACTATTTTCTCTAAGACTATGAAGATGGTTTTCCAGACCTTGTAGCGTCAAAGTATGAGTTCCCCTATGTCCACAAGCATTTGTTCCAGTGGGTGAAGAAGGATAGGAAGTTGCTGCCTTGGAAATTATGCCAATTCACTGTTTGTGGGCTGTGTAGTAAATCGAGATTATTTCTGTAAGTTAAAATAGTAATAATAACAAAAAATTCACCAATGATTCCAAAGTGGGGGAGAGAGGGAGAACCTGAAAGAACGCTTTTCTTTAGATTGCTTGTGTCACAGGGGCAGATGTGGTTCAGAAATCCTGCTGGATTTGGACATTACCTGTGTATTGGGAAACATCCCAGCTCTGTCTCCCTTGGGAAGTGCATATGACAGAGAACTACACCTCAAAAAATAGAATATCACAATTAAGAGACAGAGAAGAAGCTGCTCAGGTGAATAGCCATACTATCTGTAGGGAACCTTGGAGGATTAAAGACATGTTTTTCTATATTTATTTCCCCTTCTGTTGAAATGGACACTTGTCGTTTCTTGATAGTTTTCTTTGTTAACAAATATTTGAGCAACTTGTAGTATATTTAAGAAATCTAAGATTTCACAGTGTTGGTTATCTGCTTGACTCAGAAAAGCTACTTCCAATTACAAACATCATGCCATTGAATTCCTGAACTTCTTCAGGCTGAACTTTTGATTTGGGACAAAATCAAACTTGGCAAAAAAAAAAAAAAAAAATCAGCAATGTCTGCTTATGCTGCTTAGGTACTGTGTTCTACAGTTGTAGGGTTTTCTTTTAATTACTTTTTTTTATTTAATTAAGCTTTAATATTTTATTACTGATGTCATAACTGTCTCTGCTGAGTCTGTTCTCAGGGCTGCTTTCCTAATGCTGATGATGAACAAACAGCAATCAAATTCAGCTGCAGTTAGAAGCAAATATAGCATTCAACCTTGAATTGTGGAAGGAATTGTAAAATCACTTGAATAGACACTAAAATTGTGTATCTAAACAAGTATCCAAACGATCGATAGTGCTCTGTCAATAGACTCAGAAAGTGCTTATCTCTGGAAAGGTGCTTTTCCCTTGTTACAAAGAAGGAAAAGAGCTATTTTTATTTTTGCTTGTCAACATGTATATCTCAGGTGTTAAATCATCCTGATCTTTTCCTAGGTCTGAAAAGGACAAAGATGCAAACAGTGGCTACAATTTGTGCCATGAATAGAGCTGACCATCAAGCACACAGCAAAAAATTTAAAACTGGTTATTTCCAGAGTTGCAACTTCCAGTGCACTCTATCAAGTATGCAAATGGAACCAGTCTACTGTTTTTAAGAACATATTTTTCTGTGCATTTTCTTTACCATAAAAGAAGATGGGGGATGGGGGAGCTGATGGGGCCCCAAACAAGGAGGTGGCAAACTGGTGTGCTGAGTCTAGCTCACAATAGCTCTAGCCAGTGGCTAATGATGATATTTCTGAAAAAATCGCTGGTACCAGATGAACAAATCATTCAAGAATGTGTATGGCTTTATAATTGTTGTCTCTTTAAAATGAGTAAGAGCAAGTAAATAAATAATTTAGATCAGAATAATTTAGAGTAATGTAACTGGAACTAATGGGAAGATGCAATTGCCCCTGCCTTGATACAAGAATGCAATTTATGATTCTAAAATTCTACTTATGCTGCCATGGCAGTGGAAAAGTCCACTTACAGATGCCATGGTCTGAACACCTGAGCTGGCTTACCAAGATGTAAATTCAACCTGGAGTTGAGATGTGTAGAATAAAGGAATGCGAGCACAACTTTGAGGCTTTGTGGATGGGAAGAAGTAAAAGGGTGAGTGTAAGAGTGGTGTCCCTGTGAGCTCAGTGTTAATTAATGAAGGCACGTGAAGGCTGTGAACATTTGTAAGAGCCTGCACGAATGCTACAGTGGCACCTTCCGTAGGGCCGTGTGGCACCATGTGTTGCATCCTGCCCCACTGTTACCTGTGCAGCTTCAACCCAGCTCTGCCAACAAATGCTGCTCCTCTGGTGTGGGTAGCCTCTTGTGCAGAATAGCTGTCCCCACAGATCTCCTTGGCCTTTGTGCTGTGCTCTGGCAGTGAAGGTCCTCCAGAGATGCACCTCAACCAGCCCTTGTGAGAAGCTCTGGGCAGCCCCAGCAGCACGGTGCGGCACCTGGTATTTGGGAGCCCCTGCAGTGCCCACCCCATGTGAAGCAAGTTGGATGAAAGCAGTCCACTAGCCTCAGGGGCTGCTAAGCCCAATGCTGTGCTCAAAATCATCCCTGTCTCCATCTTGCCTCCCACTGGGTCTTGGCAGTGGGCTTCCAAGGGTAATGCACTGGGGAGCACTACAGTTGTCAGCTGGGCTTACAAAACCATCCTTTTATAGCTTGCAACATCATTAGAGCACGGCTGAGGTTGGAAGGGACCTCCAGCTCCCTCTGGTCCAACCCAGCTCCAGCCAGGGCACCAGAGTGCATGTCCAAGGGGGAGATTCCACAGCCTCTCGGCACACTGTGCCGGTGCCCCATCGCCGCACTAATGCTTCTGCACTCGATGCTGATGCTGACTAACTTCACAAATTTGCCACAGGAGCACACGAGAAACGCCTCCTCCATTCTCCAACACCAAACCGAGGGCGCCCAGCCGTGCTGCGCGCCGTCTCACCCAGCACCGCCTCGGGCCGCCTCCGCGCAGTCGCCGTGCGGGCAGGGCGCGTCCCGCCGCCAGTAGGCTGGGCCGTGCCGGGCGGCAGCGGGACTGCCAGCGCGGAGGAGGTGCGGGGTATGGCTCCGCCGGCGACGAGCGGGATCCCGCCGATTGCTCCCTCGCTGGGCCCGACGGCCGTCTGGCTGGGGAACCGCTCCGATCTCGGTGGGTGAAACGTCCAGCCGGGACCCCTCTGCTTTCCCGGGCGCTTTCACCGACCCTGCCGCCTCTCCCCGGGGGTCGGTCCGCTCTGCGCGACGGGAGCCGGCGGGGCAGGAGCCGTTCGGGGTCGGGCCGGGACTGCGGAGGGCTGCCGCGGCGCGACCTCCTCCTCGCTGTGCCCCCCCTCGACTCCTGCGCTGCCCGGGCCGAGCGGGCGGGAGGCAGCGCGGGCTCCGCCTGTCCCCGGTTCGGAGCTCGCGGCCCCGCGGGGCGGCGCACGGCGCGGTGCTGCCCGCTGTGTCGGAGCGCGGAGCTCTTGTTGTCCTGCGGCCGTTCGGTCTGGGTTGGCTGTGGGTTGGGTTAATGGAAAGCTATACGGTGAGCCGTACAAGTTCTCGTAACCGTTCTGTAGTCACCTTTATTTTGAGCCGGAGTGGGCGAGTGACTAACAGAATATAAACGATTCGAGGAACTGCTTCTGCTTAGCTGTCCAGCGTGAGGTTGAACTTGGCTTTGTGTTTAGATTTTAGAAACTCGATTTGCTGTAACCCTTTAGTGCTCTGAATGCTGCTCACATACAGAGGAAGTTGCTCCTCAATGACAGTTTCTGTGTTTATGCCTAACCCCAGACGTTGCGATACTGGTAATCTCAAAGCTGAGTGTCTCCTGCTGCCTGTGTTGTCTGAAGTGCGAACTGTTAAATGTAAACTCACTGGAAGACACTCCTTGGCTGCTGGCTGTGTCTGTGGGTACCTTGCACCAGCAGTATGTTACGGTGTGGCAGAGCATGGCTGAGGGCGTATGGCTCATGTGAGAGCAGGCAGAGGCAGCAGTTAGTATGGCCGTGATTACTAGAATGAAATTAGGCATGAAATGCTTTGAATCTTCCTATATGCCCTTTGTCAATCTGTAATTAATGCTTAGCACATGTCAGCTTGGTCCAAAAGGGTTTGAGGTGTCCACCACCTGCTGTTTTGCTCTGAAAATAAGAGGTGTGGAAGCCTTGTCATCTAGCTCATTCCTTCTCTTCAGAAGAGCAGAAAGAAGTACCAGTAGGCACAGCTGAGACCTGTGGAACAATGCTAAATATGTCGACATTGTCAGACTTCTTCTTCCCAACTTCGAAGAGCTTCAGTGAAAGAACAGCCAGCCTGGAGTTCAGATCTGTGTTGACCATTAATTGGCTTTGCAAGGCCTGAACACTTTTTTCAGATCTTCTATGGCAGGTGTAAGAGAGGAGGGAGATTGCAGATATTCCTTCTCTTGTTAAGCTTGACCACATTTTCCTCCTCTTTTGTGAATAAGAATTCTTGGAAGATTAGAGTGTGTGTGTATATATACATACATCTATAAATCAGACTGCTCTTCTGTTGTTGCTGCTTTGGCATATTGTTGCACGTTCCTCAATCTGTTGGGATGGCCAAGCAGTTTGCTACTGGCATCTTGAAGAGAATGCCTGAAGGTGTTCTTGTTAGCTGCAGGATGGGTGTGCATAGGCTTGTAGGTACTCTTGAAATGTTTATACCCTGGTTTCTATCACTGAGCACTTTTCCAAGGGAGTTTTAAGGCCATGTGCATCAGTGGGACTTACTAACAATACCTGTGATTTCATAATGTGCATCAGGTGCACTTTTGAAAGAGAATTGTTGCAAAGTGTAACAGAAAATGCAAAAGGTACAAAAACCAAACCAAAACAAAAAAAAAAAAGCCAAAAAAAAAAAACCAACCAAAAAACAAACAGTATTTCTTTCCCCTTCCTTCTGAGGTTTGCCAAATGCTTTCTGCTATATTGTCACACGGAGGATGTGCTGGTTTTAGTTAAAAATCTTTTTTCAACAAATGTGAATGTTTCCACAGAACCATTGATTTTATGTGTTTGGTAGCATTGCTTTAATGCTGCTGGTGCTTGCAAATTTCCTAATGATATGGAGTAGTCTTAAACATCTGATCCTACAGGGATCCTTTATTTTTCTTAGACAGCCAAATGGGTTAAGTGCACTTCATTAATTGCACGGAATGCACGCTTTATTTGAAAGCTGAAATTTGATGATAGGTGCTCCAACAGAAATGCAAAGCACTGTAATGCTGATTAGCAGCAAAGCATGAGATTCTGATCTGTTTTCTCCGTCTTGTCAGCTGCATCTTCTGGATGGATCAAGTCTCTCTTATTGCTGTATGTAGAGCAATTTATTCTTTTTTTTTGTCAGAGCTGAGCTGCTGTTAATATTTTTGTCTTTGTTTTTGAAGTCTTTATAATGCTAGTGCCTTCATGATGTGATTGCACAGACAGACAAGGGAATTGACAAGATTCATCTGGGATTGCATAAAACACAATGATTTTGTATTGCTGAGGGTTACATGCATTATACGCTACTGCTTTTAGCTATTGCTGTTAATAGGACCTGTTCATGCTTAGGAGGTATCTCCTCCCTGAGCCCTCCTTGCCAGCTCTCAGGGAAGCCTCTGTATGACCATTTTTTGTGGGCAGCTTGTTGAACTGTTGATGTATCACGTGACTGGGAGGGAACTTGTCGTGGCAGTGACCTGACTCTCGAAGTTGGGCGGAGAATGCTCGCTTTCCAGAGCTTCTGCAGAATGTACCCTTGATATCATCATAAGTTTTGTGATAACTTCAGTAAGCCAAAGCCTCAGATTCTAATGTGAGGATTCTAGCAGGCTCCAGTTTGAGATACTGTGAAAGACTTGCAGGTTTATGGGTTTGAATGTGATGCTTGGTAGAAAGGATGCAGCTAGATGTTTTAAGATAGGTTATCCCTGGGACTGGCTACATACATCTTGCTAGTAGTGACAAGGAAGTAAAGCTAGTTAAAAGTATTTAGAGCTAGTGATGGGTGACAGCACTGGCACAGGCTGCCCAGGGGCTGTGGGCTCTCCTCCTTGGAGATCTTCAGAAGCAGCCTGCCCATGGGCCTGGGTACCTGCTTTGGTGTCCCTGCTGGAGCTGAGGCTGAGCTAGAGGGACCTGGAGGTCTCTGCCAACCTCAGCCGTGCTGAGCTTCTGTGAGCCATGTAGCTGATTTTTCTGTGTGCTTGGTTGAGATACTGCTGTTGACAAACCTAATGAAAGTTTTGAAGTTTGTTCCTAGCAGCAGACCTTAAACAACCTCTAGGGCAATTAGCAGTGCTGTTACTAATCGTCATCTTCTTTTATCATGTGGCTTCCTCTATCTCATCAGACTTCCTGCTTATTTCACTTCTGTTTGTAGGTTCCGTTTACTACAGGATAGCTAGAAGTGAAGCAGAATTGAACATGTTGAATGTTCCTCTTAAATGATAGCTTTTTTTTTCCCGTTACTCAGTTCATGGATATTCCCCAAAGTACCATTCCCTTTAACAATAGGTGAAACAGATGTTAAGCATCAGGTTGTGTTCACTTGCTCTTCCTCTGGAAAACACCCTGTTTAACCTGTTCCTTGTCACCTTTTCTATGATTTCCTCTGGTCTCCCCTATAGCTACCACCTTAGTAGTAAGACAGGGATGTAAACTGTGATTTAAAGCTCTTGTTGTAACCGTGATGCAGGGTGAAACACAGAGACACATATTTTGGGCTTCTCCTGGAGGTAGGAAGTGTCACAGTTTGATGCAGTGTGAGCATATTTCTGTCAGAGTCATGGGAAGATGAAACACTGGCTATGGTGGCAGCTGCTGTTCCCATGAAAGGTGAGCTGAAGTGGGAATTGGCTGCTCATTTCTCTTTGTGGCATCGCCAGCTTATGTCGGCCTTTAATAACACCTGTAAATCATTTCTGTGGCCGCACAGTGAAATAAATGAGAACGTGGTCCAGGCATTAAAGAAGTAAAAACTAGCAGAAAACACCCAAACAAGTCACTTTTTAAAAGTTATTCTGAAACTTGCGTAATTCCTTCTTTACAATGGATGAGTGAACTAGCTCATAAATGATCAGGGAGAGAACTGCTGAAGATAAGGCTGCTGCTGAGACATTTACAGCTGTGCTTAGCTGGGGTGTCTGAGCAGATCCTGTATCTTACCTGAATGCTTCATTTGTCTTATACTGCAGTTAAATATGTGCAGTGATCGTACTTGATTTCCCTAACAATTCAGTTAACATCAAGGCCAACAATAGTTTGTTTCTGCATATTTAGATAGAAGGCTATATTTCATCTTCATGCCTGGAAGCAGGAAATATGATCATGCAACTTTTTGAACTACAAGGGTAAGACAGTAAATGTGTATGTAGTTATTTAGAGTAGACTGATTGCTAGAACAATCAAATTCACGAAATATAAACAAAGCTCTTTAAAAGGCAAGCCATGAGAAATAAATGACGTGGGCTTAATAGGCAAAATCTGGCGTAACAAAATACGACTCTTTATCAGCAGGGCAGAGAGATTACATCATTGTTTATGGGCTTCTTGCTGTAGATTAAACAATACAATAACTGGAATGTGTTTAAAACAATCCATTAGATGTGTATTATACTTAAGTTTATTGTGGGAGATTTAGAAAAATAGTGCATTCTTTTAAGGATGACTTTTACATTGCTTATGTAACAACTAAACAGATACAAAATTTATCGCAGAAAAGATTTTCTTTTCAGCCCTCTGAGTTGTTCATCATGCAGTATTAAATCTTTCAGGGGATTTTGCTGTGCTCTCTGAAACATTTGAGAATTGCCTATTTAGATCATTGCTAAAGGCAAAGATTTGAGCTGACTGGAGCTTCATCAGGGATGTCATAATGATCACGCTAAATGAAATCTTTTCATGCTGCTAAAACCAAGGAGAAAGTAATTCTGGAGCTTGGTATGAGCTGAGTCTATTAATGTGGCTAATAGATATAAATGAAATAATTGTTCTGATCCTCCATCTGCAAAGGAAGAAAATGGTGTGTGCTGTTGCCTTTGCAGGATCTTTAGCTCTGTGTGGCAAATAGTTGTGTAGGAACAGCTAATCCTGCTCTAGGACAGCAGAATGAAGTGGGATGGCCTTGCTGACATGCTCCAGTGTCTGTTTTCTGTGAAACTAAGGGGGAAGAAGGTTTGCTACAGAGCAATATCTTTGTGTATGTGGTCCACTCCAGCCTTGTCAGTGCTACAGCCTTCAAGATACCATGGTCTTTGATTTTTTTTTTTTAATATTTTTTTGAATAAACATTACCTTGCTAACATGGAGAGAAGACTGAGTCGAATATTGATAGATCAAGCTCAGCCATATAAAAGCTGTAATTAAAAAAAGAACAAATTCTTTTTGCCTCAGTCACCCAACTTCTTTTCCTCATGTATCCTATTTCTTAAAGGTTTTGTAATATATTCTTGAGCCACTGTTGGGATGGAAAGATAGAAGAACACTGTGAGTAGTGGTGATTAGAACCAGTATAAAAGAAAAGTTCTTGACCAAGGCAGACTGACTTTATATTTTACTTTTTAGTTAAGGCTTAGTTAAGGGTGGAGAATACTTGAGATCAATGACTGAAATGTACTTATTCTTAAGCCAACAAGGCTACATGGGGTCTGAATTAGTATCATGAATATAGTCTGTGATTTGTAGTTTAAGCAGCATTTAAAATGTGCCAAGTGTTGCTCCCAAGTGTTTGTATTTGAAGTGCATCTTCAGGTAATTTTGATATGTAGACTGATAGTCTGCACAGGTGTATGAAAACATCAGGACAGGAAAAAGTCCACAGCAAACTGATTTCAGTAAGTATTGGCATGAATCAAGGAAGTCCTGAATTTTCAGTGAAAATCTTTGTGAGGCAACACGGTACATCGTGAGAATGGGGTAACTGTCACCATTCTGTTAATAACTGTAACATGCCTCAGAGGAAGAATAGGGATCATAAAATGAGTGATGCAGCTCTGACTAATACATGAAATGTATTGCTTGTGCCCAGGCAGGTCGTCGTCATGTATTACATCCTAAATGCTGAAGTTTCTGGGAGCAGACTTCTTGACACATGGGTGGTGTTTGGTAATGAGTGCAGAGTGCTTTGCTCTGCTCATAAGGTTGAACACAGCAGCAAGTATTTGATCCAGGCAATCATTTTTTTTCTAGAATATTTTCTGTTTTGCTTCTAGTGAATTTTTACATCTCTGATCATTTAATGATGTCATCAAGAACAGTTTTTGTTCTGTGTAGATTACCTGTTTGCATTAAAAAAATATTGATTTTTTTACTGTTAAGGAAGATACTTTTAAAACGTGCTCATACCTTGTTGAATTTTAATGGAAAAAATAGATTTTCAGACATCTAAAGACAACTGAATAAAACTTGAGTGGCTCATTTAAATGGGCCAGTTTGTTGGAGTCGCTGTTAATATGTAAAATATTTTTTTCCATTTAAAATTTTGTCTCCTGCCTAATTCTAAAGCTTTTAAAATTTCAATCTAATTAGTAGGCTAATCTGTATTGCTGAGCATTGAGTTGGTATATCACGAGTTTATTCAGTACCCTTCAGTCAGGAAAAAAGGTTTCAGTATTGGCTCATCTGTGGCATTTTTAAAGTGTTTATAATTTTTTTTTTATTGGCTACATTTATCTTGTAAGAATTTTTCTGAGCTGTCATAATCCTTGATGGCAGACTGCAGCTGAAGGGTTTTCTTGTTGGTATATCAGGTGGCAGCCTGTGAGCAGAAATGCTCAATGAAATCAAAGAACAGTTTGTAGGTTTAAAAATAATAATAAAATAATAATAATAATAATAATAATAAAAAGAAACCAGGCAAGTGGTTCCTTCCAAAAATGAAATTTATTTCAGAACTGTACCCAAGCACTACTGACATGAGAGAAGAGGAAACTCATTAAGATGAGTTACTTGATTGCCTTGACAGAGCAGTCTGCAAGCCACAGCTAGTGCTGCTTCACTGAAGCGACTGCTTTAAAAAGTAAAGGCTTTCTAGGGCAGGTTTTTCTTCAACAATCTCAGTCACTGATCCAGTTTAAAACTCTTTCCAGGGTTTTGGCCTGTCGGGTGCAAAGTCAGTGGGGTAGCAGAGAACTGAGGGGGGAGGGAACGGACCTTGTGAAGTGGCTTTGTGTCTGGAGAAGCTGTGAGCAACCACAGCTTGGAGGCCTGGAAGCACTCGCTCTCTAGGTTTGAAGTAGGGTTACCTGCCATGGTCATGAAGGAAAGTCAGGAGGAGATTTCTTAGGGTAATGCTGCTTTTCTCACAAAGAGATACAAAATGAAAAGAGTGGGATTCATCTGGTGGCCCTCCTAATCTGTCCTCCTACCTCTTAGTTATCTTGAGTGTTAAGTTGCTGTTGATGTCTTTGCAGTAGTGTGCTGTGGTTTTCCCGTTCATTCTTAAAATGGACAGCGTGCCTCAAAATTCAGAGCACCTGCTGATTTTCCTTACATTAGCACTCTTCACGTTCTGATCTGTTGAGACCTGTTAACACCTCTCTGAGGTTGTGATGTATGCTATTTCAGCTGGATTTCTTAGATTCTGAAACAACACAGCCATCAAAATAGTATTTGTTGTAATGGCTTTTCTCCTTCCTGAAGTAAATTGCCTGATGAAGTGGGGAACTTGGGATATGTTGGAAGCTGACAAGACCAAACCCATTTCATTTTAATTTATTAAAATGTGAATTGAAAATTCTTGCCAAACAAACTGTGAGCAACTTTTTCAGTTATATGATTCTGTTTATCCTTTCTTGTCTTTCACTTCTCTGTCATGTAAAACAATTGCAGTTTTAAAGTGTTATCTTGTTCAGTTCTTGTGTTGCTCAGTTGTCCTGCCCAGGTACAAGTTAAAGCTACTGAAGATTACATACCTAGTAAGTTCTAATACAGTTATCTGCAGCGTTGCTGGCCTTTTTTGAAAAAATGAATAGCTTTCTTTTTTGGGTTTGTATGCAAGCTAGGCCATCTGGCTCTGTCCCAAGCAAACATCCTGAGGTTTAATTTCAACATTGGAGTTCATTCAGCCTCCAGAACTATTCAGATGTTTGTCTGCATTTCCTTTAGTTTTCTGCGTTCCCACTGTTGTGTAGCATATTGATTCAGATGAATACTTAATGGTTTTTAAATTTTTATTTATACAGCTGGCACAGTAGAGGTAATTTTGAAGTAATGGTCTTTCTGCAAATTTCTGGAGACTCTTAAGTGTTTTGTTTTGTTTTTTTTTCAGAGGGAGGAGTTAGATGGCTTTGGGAATTTCTGTTGTGAAAGCTTCAGTATCGCGTAATTGGTTTTCTGATGAATCTTCAACCCATTTAGTGGCAACATTATGAATTACCATGTCTGTTTTAGTACAAGTAGGTAGAAAATATGGTAAAATATGTTAGAATTTTACTCACCTCATTTTGTTGCCATTCTTTCCTACTCTAAAAAAATAGAGTAGAATATTTTTGTATGCTTGGAGGTTATTATGTAAATCTTTGTGATGTATAGTGTGTATACATAAACTTTAGAGACTTCAAACAAATTCTGAATATGCAAACGTGTTTGGATTTAGCTGAACAGTTGGACATGGTTGGAATCTGTTGTATTCTTCTAATCCCGTTGCCAAGAAAAGTCAAGGATATTTGAGTCTGATCCTTTTGTCAATGTTAAATCCTGTGCTTTTTCTCTATTTTGCATGAAGTTAGGACTTCAGGAATAGTATGGAGTTCCCCTCACTGGTGAGAAGGAGCACTTGTGTTGTCTTGCTTTCCGTGAAATACGCTGGCCCTCATGCTGAGATTGGCTAGAATACCATTTGTTCTACCCCATCACATTGAAGAAATATCATATAGGTGTTCTTTGCACATGGTTGAATATTTGTAATTGTTTCATGCAGAGAAGATACTGACTGTTAGAGGCATAAACTCTGTTTGTTCCATTATGTAGGTGATGTACAGGCCTTGGCAAGCCATGATTTACCGACAACTACCGTGATGACTGGCAATAATAGCAAGCCTGAGCACCTGGAGTATGTTGCCTTTGTATTGGTGCCTGTTTTCTTCATCATGGGTCTCTTGGGGATCCTCATCTGTCACGTCCTTAAGAAAAAAGGGTATCGTTGTACAACAGAGGCTGAAGAAGTAGAGGAAGAGGAGAAGCCTGATGAAAAAATAGGTAATCAAAGCGTCTAAAAAAATATTTCTACTTATTTATAAAAATTGCAGCCAATATGGAGTTAACTTTTTGTGAGACTTCTATCATTCTTCTGTCTAGATAAGTTATCATACAATATTAAGAGAAGTATTTTTCATTACCATTATGTCTGTTGGTTTTTGGTCTTTGTTAGTCAAAGTTTTGCCAGTCTTCCAACTTCCCACGAGTCCTTTAGAACAGATTAAGAGCTTATGGAGGGATCAACGTATCCAGGATATTTGTGGCTGTGTACTGAAGTCACCGGATCTCCTTTGTGCATTCCATCTGCTGCTGAGAGAAAGTATTGGACATCAGGGAGTGGTGAAAAGCTGCTGTTTAAGGCCTTAAGTCTAAGATTTATGTTTAGCAACTCAAGTTTTATTTGTATTGTGTTGTCTTTCTCATCTCCCTTCTCAATATAAAACTGAGCCTTTGGGTGGATATTCTCTTCTATGTAACGCATGCTGCTTATATGTATTTTTTTCTTAAAGATACTTCTGTTTTTCTGTTTGTACTCTTGTTTTGTGATTCCTTATTCCTGTTTTCCCCTGCTCTCTTTTTCACCCCAGAGAAGAATGCTATATGCAGCATTTGGCTTGGCAAATAGAAAGGTCAAGTCACTTGTAAATGCTTCAGGCCTCTTCCTTTCTCCAAAAAGATTGATAGCATCTCCACAGGTTCATAATAAGTGCAAATTACAGTGCCTCTGTGGTAACAGTAGAGTCATGTGCTGCAGTAGTGATCTGTCATTGTGTTCTTAAGCAATCACTGCCCATGGCATGTACTCAAGCTGTGTGTCTGTTTAATCTGCTGGTTCAAGGGAGGAGTAACAGCAAGGTGAGTGGCAGTGAAAGGGGGCAGCTTCCAGGTCTTCTGAGGAAACAGGTGTGTAAGCTGCTTTGCAAAGTTGTAGGCATTGGGGTGAAGAAGATGAAAGGTGGGGTGAAGAGAGGAGGAAGCCCCAAATTTACTACTTGGAGGCAAATTTAAGGCCTAACCTATCAAACTTGCCTCCATCTTCTGATTACTTATTTTTCATTTTAAAGATAGCCCTTATGTCTTTTAAGGAAGCTGTGCTTTTTAATATTTTTTTTTTTTCCCCCAGTCTTTGTGTTTTGAGATTATTCTGGGGAAACTTCCAGCACTGGCAACGAGTGAAGTCAGCTACAGAAGTACCAAGGTTTTCAGTTGTATATGATATATGACCAGAGGAGCAAGGAATTTAAGAATCCTAAATGTATAAAATTAAAAAAAAAAAAACAACAAAAACACACACCTTGCAGTTGTAAGATTAAATTGAATCCCTTTTATTCTAGAAGCTGATAATCCCTATTTTAAAATATTAGCTTGAGATGGCTCCATTTGTTGTTTTCCTCTTTATGTTTAGGATTAGAAATACTGCTTTCTTTTGTATCTCCTTATCTAAATAGTATAAATAGAATTCTGATGCATGTTCATGAAAATATTGAACTTCTTCAAGCCTTAAAGAATGTTAGAGCTGATGTGTAGATTCCATAAAGTTACTTTTCTGGGCTTTCTTGAATAAAGACCAAAAAGTCTCATCTGTTTTCTCTCCAAAGTGACAGTAGATCTTACCATTTTCCTTCTGAAACGTCTTCAAGTGTTTTTTTTTCTTTCTTTCTTACTTTTTTTTTGGAGGTGGGTGCTTTAGTGTAGTTTATTTTTTGAAGTATCTTCTTTTTTTTTGTTCTTTTGAAAGGCCAAAATATTGACAAAATATTTATTTCGTTGCACAGAAATGAATGAAACTGCGCATGAGAATAGTGACACTGTAGGACAAATTATTAACTACATTATGAAAAATGAAGGTATAGTATGGTGAAATTGAAGTTATGAGCCTTTGTGGTGGTGTCTGATATATATATATGTGTGTGTGTATTTGTAAATATTCAGAAGTATGACATGTTCGTATGTTTTCATTTAATAGCTGTTTTGTATGTGTATTCTTTGAGATTGCCTGCAGGAGGCAATAATCCTAAGCAAAGTGGAGATATTTTTTGATTATCTGAAAATAATTCTGTATTGTAAGCTTGATTCATGCATTTCTTGATCTTCTGTTAACTGTTGGGGCATTTGATTTTATTTTTTTCCTCTTTTAAATTATTTTTGCTTGTTTTTCAAAGAAAAGCTTAAGCTTGTTTTCTTAATGGCAACATTTAAAGCATGTGAATTCTCATGTTTTGACCATATTGAACATTTTGTCTTGTAATAATTCCCATGGCTGTTGTCAGATGAAAGATTTGAGCACAACTGAGAGAACAGAGTAGACTAGCTCTGACTTGGAAATTCAGACATGATATCTTCCTGCGCTGTCTGCACCAAGTAAATGGTAAAATGGATACTTTTAGAAAAAATGTAAAACTATGCTTAAGTGGCCCGAAAAGCGCTTGGTTAGGTCAGAACATTTTTACCAGTCAAAGCAACCTTTGGAGGAAGGAGGAGACTGCATATTTTTATAGTATAAGAAACTCCAGCCTGTAAATTTTACATTTGTATAAATTCAAGTTCTCCTAAGCATTGAGTTTGCCTTGAGTTACTTCTGAAAGAAGCCTAAATCTCGGTAGAGGTTTCTTTTTGTTGCTGGTTTCTTCTTTTCCCTCAATGACTGCTAGTGCTTAGTGCTACTGTGTTTTTCATCACGGTTGGGTTTTGTTTTTTGGTGCCTTTTCTCTTAAATTGCTCTATAAGTATGAGGTGATGACAGTCCTGTGATCAAATGAATGTTTTTAAAATTTTCAGTGATCTTGTGTAGGAGTGCTGTGCAGATGGCTGCTATGTAGCTTGCAGTGGGGCGAAGCTTCGTTTGCAATATGAGCAGTAATTTTAATAGCTTATGTTAAGAAAATCCCATAGAGTTATGTAAACATTTTTGCAGTAGTCTCTCTCATGCCTTTTGGTGATACAGATAATGCAGCCATCTTTCTTCTAGATGGAAGTTCTTTTAGCACCTTCAGTTTTGTTGTTTGTTTTTCTAAAGTTAGAGCTGTGCATTTTTGAAGAATTCTATTTATTCTCATTACAGCAAATGCTGATGTGTTAAAGGCCATGGTAGCAGATAGCAGTGTCTTTGAACCCGAAAGGTAATTGCTCAACTTTTTAATGTGTGTTTCCTGAGGCAACTAAAAATGTACCCTTTCAAAGGGTTTTATTTCCTGTGCACTTTGAAGACTACATCACTTCCTTGAGTTGTCAGCCAAGAGGATTATAGCTTGATTTCCTTGTTGTGTCTTTTAGTTCACTACATTTTAGCGTAAGCCCCATGATAATATCTTGCTCTTCTGGTTATATGTTCTAGGCCTGTCAAAATGATTTATTGCTTTCTCAAGCTAAAGATTTACAGAGGCTGCAAATATTTGTTTACTTAGGATGCAATTACTTCCAAGTTGGTTTAATCAAAACTTGGTGATTTGAAAGAGCAAAGGCAGTGCTTGTTTCATTTATATGGTTGCTAACTTTGAATAGTGTCTCTTTCAATGTTTTACTCTTTTTGCATTATAAATTTGGTGACATGCATTGGCCTACCTCTTAGGCTTCCTTCCACTGCACACCTATTTGAAACTTCACATAGGGAAAGTAGTCTGCCCCTTAAATGGCAAAATACTATTTAATTAAACATGCTTATGTCTGTATCTAAGTACCTTTAAACTGTATTTATATTACTGCATTCTTCTTATATAATCCTATATTCCTATTCAAGGCAGAGAAAATGGATATTGAAGTAGTGAAGTAGGAGTGTATAGTTTTAGCAAAACAAATAATGTGCAACCATAGGAAACTATTTTAATGATGCGAGGCTTGGTTATTGAAGAAACTCATTTCAAATCTAACAAAATGAGCTCTTGAACATAAAGATGATTTTGGAGCTATTTTTTCCTGGTGCGTCACAAATATTTGGTAGGATTTTAACTCAAACATCTTGTGTAGGTATGTGTACTTTGAGAGTTTGACCACTGTTTCAGTGAATTAAAATAGAAAAATGGGAAGGGACTGTGGTCTTATGAGACTACCAAAAGATGTGATGATTTTTTTCTTGTATTACTTCTGACAAATGGTCCTGAAGCTTTAGTGGCTTGAGTGCAAATCCCTTGCATTTATTTCTGTGTTCAGTCCACTGTGAAACACTTCCTAGTGATAGAAATAAACACAGTGAAGTGAAATCTGAACTTCTGATATTTAAAGTCATTTCTTCTTGTCTTCACTTCAAACATGTTAAATGGATTTTATTTCCTTTTTAAGTTTCTTTAATTTGTTTGAAGACCACTAAATGCCTCCTGACAATGTATTTGTTCTGAAAATAAACATCTAAATAGCTCCAGTCTTTCATTGGCAAACTTTATTTCTTTGTTCTCCTTTGGAGTTTCTCTGGTTTGTTAGAATTTTTCTAGAAATAGCATTCCTAAAACTGGATGAAATGTTCCAGCTAAGGCATGATTAAAGCTTAATAGTGTGACTTTATTAGGTTGTTATTTCCATGGTGAGAAAAAATTCTTACTTTAACACACTTACATCCTAATGATTCATGTTCAGCTTGTGTTTTTCTACCTTCTTTTTCTGAGGAGTGAGTATCTGGCTAACTGCCTCTGTCTTTTTAATGTTTATTTCTGCTAAAGCACTGAAATTTGTGCTGTCCCTACTGTGATACATCCAGTATTCTTCATAAGATTTCTCAGTGTGTGTCTTTCTCACACACACACTTTCTTCCTATCATCCTCATTTCTTTGCTTGTACTCTACAGATAAGTGTAGGTAACCCCAAAATTCACAAGTAGTTTAGATGTTTTTTTCTTCCATTATTTAAAGAACTATTTAAAATGGAATATGATCTGGACCAGAATGACTGCATTGAAAATGCCCTTTCAGTTTTACGGTAATCTGATAAACAACTTTCTGGTATGCCCTTTTTCAGGAATGTTCTGTCTTAAGTTGTCGTCATTTTACCCGTAACGCACTGAACTCTGTCTTGCTTTATGAGAATATGTTGCCTGACCGTGGAGTAATGCTGAAATCCAAAAAAGTCTTTGCTTTTTGTCTGTCCTGCCTGTTTTTCTGTTTTAGAAGAAATTAAGATTAATTTTGTGGGTTGCTCTCAATAGGTGTATTTTGTTCATTGTAATGCTTTTTATTTTTTCATGGGTCCTTTAAAAAGCAGCTTTCTGAAGCTTTGGCTGGATGATATGTTAATCCTGTTTCATGACAGACATTTGGTTTTGCCTCAACACAATGTTGTGACTGTGTCTTTCTGTGAGTTCTTAAAAATAATGGAACAAGTCCATGTAAACTATTTTTCTGAATTTTAACCTGATTTTTTTTTCATTTCCTTGTACTTTCTGTCAGTTATGTTAACTACGTGATTGCAGATCCATTCGTTCATGGAAGTGATTTTTGAACTGTGGGAACATGGTATTAGAGGGAACATTAATTCCTGTATCCCCACGAATAAACTATCCTTCAGAAAAGTAGTTTTTCACTAGACGCAACAGAAGGCTTTACTTTACTCTTTATTTTCCTTCTAAGAAACAAGATTTAATAGTACTATGTGCATTTCCTTTATACTTCCTCTAGCCCCTTGTCTCCTAACACTCCTGGAAGTCCAACAAGTCCAGGGTCTCCTTTGTCACCTGGTGCTGCTCCACTTAAACACAGCTGCAAAGGCCATCACTTACATACTGTTGGAGGAGTAATAGAGAAAGATGTTTGTTCTCGCTGTAGCCACAAACGATGGCATCATATAAAACCAGCTCACAAATCCAAAGAGCACAGAAGAAGTCGCCTTGGAGAGGTTACAGTACTTTCTGTGGGAAGGTAAGATTTAATGCCACTTCATTGTATCCTTTTCTTAGAGACACTATAGTGGCTGATCAGTTAATGGGATCAGCTACCCATTAACTTTACTCATTTCTAGAACTAATGATTTATTTATTTATTTATTTATTAAAATCCCATTACTAGTAAACTAAATTTATTTCTAGAGGAAGTGAACAAGACTGTTCACAGAATCACAGAATCACAGAATCACCCGGGTTGGAAGGGACCCCAAGGATCATGTAGTTCCAACCCCCCTGCCTAGCAGGGCCACCAAACATACACATAACTGTTCTAGAACATAACACTGTTCTAGAACCCTGTTCTAGAACTATGAACCCTGTTCTAGAACTATGAACACTGTTCTAGAACTATGAACACTGTTTTAGAACCCTGAATGAGTAGGCATCCGCTGTGGCTGCAAATCCAAAGCTGTAGTTCTGATGACACAGTCTAAATGTAATAAGAATTGCATGTGAATAAATTCCTTTTTTTAAATTTGTTATTTCTGGATTAAGTGTGAGGTATAGAAATAACTTCATTATGCTTTCAGTTGTTTTTAATTCCCTTCTTACACAGTAGTTGTCTTAGAAAAATTACTTGTCTATTAGCATGGAATCTGTGGACAGTTTTAAAAACCAAGTCCCTGAGAAAGTGTGATTCAGCAGCAAGGAATGTTTAAGGCCTTCATGGGTAATAAAAAGGAAGATGGCTCTGAAGTTAACGTGGGTCTGTGTGGGTGTGTGCTCTAACTTCATGGTCTTGGGATTCTCCTGTCTTTAAATGCACACATATCCATATCCTGGCTATACAGAATGATCCTGGTAATATCTAGGGACATACAACTGAATCTCACTTTTTGTCACCTCAGGTTTAGAGTCACGAAAGTGGAGCACAAATCTAATTCCAAAGAACGGAAAAGCTTGATGTCTGTTACTGGGGTGGAGGGCCTCAATGGTGACGTGCCTGCCACACCTGTGAAACAGGAAGCAAAAGAAGCACCTGCCACACCTGTGAAAGAGGAGACGCAAGAGAGGAGAAGCTCAGAGTGAACTGCAGGTATGGCACTGGGAAGGAACCAGTGAAAGTGAAAGCTGGGAAATAGACTGAGGCAACCAGTAAGGAGAAAAAACGTTGTGAATGTATCTATTCTGTGTGAAAACTCATCAGGCAAATTTGAAAGTTTCTATAAAAGTCTGCAAAAATCATATTTGATCATTCAGTTAATGATTACATTGGTAAAGCCTAAAATACACTGATTTTTTTTTTTTAAGGTCTAAATAAAAAATTAGATTAAAATTTCAACAGATGTCGAAATAAAAGCATCATTAAGGTGGCATCATCATCCAAGATATGCATATAATTTTTCCACAGTAAGTGGACAGTTGAGTTCTTAGTGGCAATGTGCTGGATTCCCAAAAGAAACAAGTACTGCTGACTGCTTATTCACTGGAATAATTGCAGTGCTTCTTCGTTGTTCTCACTGATACTGCATATCAGCTGGCTGCTTATTGGATACTTCTCTGATAGATCAGGGAGGCTTTTAATAAGAATAGAAATGCATAAAAATTCTCATATCACAGTGATCTATGATAGGCTATTAAACAGGAGGATGGGGATTCTCTTGAGGCATTAAAATTTAGTAAATTACTTAATGGGATATCAGGCATGTTGAAAATGTCTGCCATAATTTGGAATGCACACCTGGTGGGGGGAGTGAGGGAAGAGAAGAGTCTAGCAGGGGAAGCCTAGGATGTAGTAGTTGAAAATGTAAGGGGGAAAGATGTGATAATCAATATATAAGTAATAATCAATTGGAGGTAAGCCGTTTTACAAAGCAAAGAGAATTTTATACAACTGTGACATGATGAGAGACTGAGCTTTGGGGAAGATGGGAGTTCCAGCGTAATGAAGTAAAGGCTCTATATTTGAAGGAAGTGAACAAGTGACAGAACCAAACTGTAGAGCTGGCTTGCTATACAGTGGATTACTTCCTCCTAACCTTTACTGTGAACACAGAGATAAAAGAGATAAAACTAAGAAGAATGTATTTATCTGGATGCTGTCTCACAAGTATTTTTTTCTTTATCTGAATGAAATAGGAAATAACCTCTTCCCTCACTAGCTGCGTCTGTATGTTCATGTGCAGCTGGATTGGGCATGAAGGTCTGTGGTCTTTTTTTCCAGTATTTCCAATGGGAGATCAGACTTAGAAATTCATTCTTTGACTTATGAGAAGATAATTTGTCTTCTAACATGAAAAATAGCAAGAAAAGGGCATATATATGAAAATAGCTTGTTCCAGTGCGCTTGTGATTGGAAAAGTTTGTTTTCATCATCTGGAAATGCTTTATAGCTGTTTTGTAATTTGTCCTTTCTCAAATCAATGAAAGCTGTTCCTTTTAAGTACCTAAACATTGTTCTTTAAGTTTGAACTATTACTGCTTCAATCTAAAAATAAGCTGCTCTTTAGAGAGAGAATAGTATAGCTATTATTAAAAAAAAAAAAAAGTGTCTATCTTTGTGGGTTTTTTTTTTTTTTTTTTTTTTTTTACTGTAGAACCTCCCTTAGGATTTGAGATACTGCTCTTTTTGAAAACAAATATTGTAATAGCAGAGAAATGACTCTGGGGAATCACTTGTAATGGTATCTCCAGTCCAGCAAAACTATTTTCTAAACTTGGGAAACTAGCCAGGTCTGTTTGCTCTGCACTATGAGGGGGAAAAAAAATAAAAAACCCACAACCAGAAAAACTCAGCTTTTGCCTGAGCACTTAACATTCTGTTCTCTAGTGTGGTTCTACATGAGTTTTTTCTCTGCTGCTGTGAAAAGCTGTTCATAAGTAAGCAGATACTAAGTTAGACTTCCGTTTCAATTACTTGTTTCAGACTTACAATAACGTATTATAGCTTAATTTACTGACATTGGGTGGATAAGCAATGTTTGGGATTTCTGTGCCTGTAGCTCATAAATGTATGATTAAAAAGCACATTGTTTTGGAGAACATGGCTCAGATCTTCCAGCGTAGAGGAAGAAGGGAGGCACAAATGTGCATGTAAGTGCTGCCAGAAAAAGGTTTGTTCCAGCTTTTTTGGAGGCACTAGATTGGTCCTTGTGCATTAAACGGCCGTAACTGAGATCTGTGTGAGATGAAATCTCTTGAGTTGAGCAGTATTTTCATGCTGCTGGTTGCTTGTGTTCACGGCTACTCTTGAGTTCAGTTTCGCTTCCCCTAAACTGACATATTCTTAGTATTTTCTTGAAATGAGCTCTGCAGTGTTTCAGCTTATCCTTCCATCTTGCTGCCTGCATCTTTTATACTTAGCATGTCTTCTGTCTATCTCTGAGGTTCATGATCTTGAGCGGATTCCATTTCATCATTTCTGTTTACTTGAAATATTTTTAGTGGCACATGAAAAAGAAGTAAATATGGAACAGATACTTAAAGTCAAGTATTTGAGTTAAGCTCTTGGAGTTCCTTGGCAAGCTACTGAGAAAACAAAAACTTAAGTTACTGCTGTGCTGCAGCTTTGTGATGTTTGCCATTTCTGGTGTCCCTTTCTAAGTTGTGTGCGCTTTACACTGATGTGATTTATGGGTCTGCTGGTGGTTTTGTCCATCCTTTTCATAATTACCAACTGAAGTTTTAACTTTTTTCATTTCTTATTCTAAGGCTTGTAATGCATAACCACCACGTTAAGTAATTCAGGCATTTTTTTTCTATTTCAGAACATCTGTATTTAATTGACATGTTTATACTGTAACTAATTTTCTCCTGAACCTATCTGTGAAATTACTTTCTTGTTTTGCAGGTGGAACTTCTAGAAGAAGTTAGTCAACTAGCACTTTGGAGAAAACAGAGGACTCCCAAGAAATGCATTCTTATTTAAGGAAGTGTGTTTATGGCACTGTAGCATTTTACAAACTTTGTGATGGCATCCATGCAAGGTTAAATACTTACTGATTTTTACTGGTGAAAAAAAATTAAGATTTACACATACACACTGTTGGGCAGTGTGGACCTCATACCAAAAGCTGAGCTTCATCTTCAAAATCAAAAGTACACACATTTTTTTGGACAGGGAAGGTAAAAAGTCTTACCAGATAATTTTTTTTCTTCATACTTTACCCCTCTAGTCCATCTGGATTTTTTAACTCTGTTCTTCCCTTCCGGAGCTCACAAATACTCACTGAAGATGAAATTCAGACTACGGAAGATGAAAAATACTCTATTAATCTAAATTTTAGTAGCCAAGCAAACCACACAAGAAAATAAACGTTTTCAGTCAAATCTGCATGTGTGCAGACATGCAGAAGTATGTAAGCCTTTCTGACTCTGTGACAGGTAACTCACAGCACAGAATGGCTTAGCTATACGCAAATGTTAAATGATACTGTTGTCCTTATTCCTATTACCTTAATAACTATTTAATATTAGGCTAAAAAGTGTCTTCTTCTATGCACTTGGTTGAGCTTTTGGAAAGGTCACTTTCATTAAGACCATTTGTTCTCCAATTTTCTTGTAACTACTTAGTCGTATTTGCAGTCGTATTGCCTCATGGCTTTGCCTTTCTCTTTTGTTTTTTACCCACAGGTTCCTTATTAAGCTAAGGCAACATATTTGAACCACTAGATAAGGATATGGAATATTTGTCATTAAAAATTTATGGAGTATGTACTGAAGCACTTCAGAGTGGCTTCAGAGGGTAGCAGTTCTCATGGCACCGAAATCTTAAGCCATTGTTTCACTGCCTTAATATTTTGAGTGTGATCTACTGCTAACAATACCAGTGATGGTTTTGTGGTGTTATTTTTGTGTCTACTTATTATGACCTTTACAATCTTAATGCTTTATTTTGGTAAGGCAGGGGGAGGGGACATTTGCAATACTTCAGCAAATTTTGCTATGTGAAAGAAACTGAAAAATAACATATTCTCCAAGTGCCTAAGAATATAAGCTGTAAGGTAATACAACGTAGTAGAGATTATGCTATTTTCTGAGAACTATACATTAATTTAATCTAACCTATGAACTCTATAAAGATCAGTGCTTCTTTTGAAATTGATTTGTTTTAAATTGCTTTTGATCCTTTTTGTCCAAGTGTTCTGAACTGTGTTTTTCTTTCAGATCTGAGAATCTTCATCAGCTTATGTAATGTTAACAATGTGTACATGTATTAAATTCATATTAATTTTTTTTTAACCATATTAGGTACTCCCACATCTTGTCAGAGAACTTTGTTTGATGGTTGCTGGGAAGTATGTGCTGTGATTGCCTTCCTTGTATCAATTAGATATTGATAGATCCAATTGTAGAACAGCTTGGGTTGGAAGGGGTCTTAAAGATCATCTAGTTCTGCATCTCCTGCCCTGGGCAGGTTTACTGCTTGCTAGGTCTGAACGCTTCTCAGAGACACCATATTTGGTTGGGGGAGGAACAAACAAACAAAAACAACAACAACAACAAACAAACCGCAACAAAGATCCTGAAAAGAAATGATGGTTTATTGTGCCTTTTAGAATTGATGTTTTTAGAGAGAACTGCTCATTCTTGAGTACCTTAAATAACTCTGACCAGGACTGGTACTTGAGTGTTTAGCATCCTTGCTGTCATTAATTTAAGTCTGGTTTATAAAATCTCTTTGATATTTAACAAACTACGAAGCTTGCCTTATAGGCATACATTTGATAGATTCTTGATTTTATATATTTTTTTCCTTCTTCAAACTTCACTTGATTTCAATAAAAAGCTATTTATTCTAGAAGAGTTTAATTAGTGTTGGTTATAATAGTTAGCTTTCAATTTCCAGTAGATTGAGAGCTATGAGTATAAAATGTTATTGGAAAAAGGGAGTATTGGGCAAAGCCGAGCAGTTTTAAACAGTTTTCAGAAAGAAGATGTACAGTTACAGACTGTCTCAAAAAGCTTTAAAAAAAAAAAAAGTTTTTAATTTGATGGTATTGTGTTTTAATACATAGTAAGCTAATATTGCAAGGTAACATACTGAAATAATTCAAAAGAAGCTTGAACAAAAATGTCCTATTTTTTTACTTAATTTAAAAGTACTTCCTATTTTGATTCCATTTAATTATGTAGATAAAATCAAAATGTGTTGGATATGTAAAACATTGTTTGCCTGTATAACTTACTTACATAAGGTATTTTAAGACCTGGTTTGTGTGAGAACTGAATTTGTACATTGCTTCTTCAATAAGAAGATTTAGAAGTGGTGCCTGTTTTTACTGCCTTTAACACTACACTTTGCAGTTTTGTAGTGATATGGACATTGCCATATTAGTCAGCCTTTCTTCAATTTGCATACCGGATGTATTTTTAACAAAGTAGTTTATATACAACTTTTGTACTACCAAGCAGATAATAAAAGATTGATTCTTAAACTCGCTTGTGATTTCTTCAAACCTGCCTCATTGTGTAGATCTTGACCATGACACATTCTGAGCTTCTAACGTGTAATGTTAAGCTCTTAGCCCTATGAGTTTTTGTTTGTGGAGGTTAGGCTGTTGTGTGATGTTCTTCCTTACTATTTTCTTGGCAAATAATCTACTTGCTCTGTATTTATCTTGGAAAGAAGAAAATATAAGCTTTACTCTGAACTGGTATCTGACTGAAGACCTTTTGCCTTTAATTGCCCTTAATATCAGGGCTTTTAACTTTTTATTGTATGTGATGTTGAGCTTTTAGAAAATACGCAACATTCTCATTATTCTCAATTGTTTTTTGTAAGGTATGGAAAGAAAAAAATTACAAATGACAGGAAGCTCTTTGCAGTTGCTTCCTCTGTGTCTCTCAGTGATATTACAATGCTTAATTTGTTACATTATGTTCTCACAGATGACTGCAGTCTGCAAATGGCATTACAATGAATTTTGCTGTATGAATAGGTGAAGGAAGCTCAAAGCAAGATGTTGTGGCTAGCTGGATGTAATTATCAGTGTACCATCCTGTTTGCAATTCTTCTGTTCATTATTTCAGTGTTTCCTAGCTGTATCACACAAGGTCTGTTTTGAGATCTGGGCTCGTTGAGTTTTAAAAGTTTATATGCAGCAGTGGTTTGCAATCAGAACTAGGAAAAATAAAAAGAAAGAAAAACATTCTTCCAGGCCTCTGTTTTCTCAGAGAATTGTGACAGTGCTACTAGAAGATTAATGAAATTTGAAAACACATTTAGATTGTCATTTCCAGATACATTCTTTTCATCTACATAACAAAATAACCATGGTGTGATATTCTGTGTGTCTTGTTTTTTTCCTTTTGTGTGTTTTCTACACTCAGCTCCTTGACATTTCTACTGCTTGCAGTAACAATTTCAGGTCATATTTAATTGAAATCTAAGTACAAATTTGACTGTCATCAAGCTTTGAAAAGATAATTATAACAATTCTGTAATACATATACTTTTATTAGCTGTACATTGAATAAATAACAATTTCTGTTTTGAAATTTGAGACATGTTGTAATTGAACTGGCATAAATCAGTCCTCAAAAGAAATGTGACTTTTTTTTTTTTACCAGAAGGAAACTGTTATTTCCCCCCAACACACTGCTTTATTTTATTACTTGAGGCGTCATGCCAAAACTCCTCAGTCTACCTCATGTTGCTGTAGAAAAACAGATAAGGGAACTACTGTTTACTAATACCTGATTTTATTGGTGAAGAGTACGTGTCCAATGCATCCTTGAAACATGGTAGACATGAAAGAGTTTTTCTCATTTCTGATTTTGTGACCAACACTTAGTTTAAAAGCATGCTGTAATGTACCTGGTGGCGCTTTACTCTTTTCTTTCTGAATTCTTTCTGTTACTCAAAAGTACAGAAATCCAGACAAAACTGAAACTTCATGATTCTTCTGCTGACAAGTGTTTGTGTCATATGTGGAAAGATGCTTCATGCAGATGGTAAGATTTTAAAAACAAAGAATAGTACCAATGTGCCTTCCTTCTTGTTTCGAGTGTGGGGGTAGCTGTTGCATCTGTGCACTTTCTGTAGAAGTTAACCCAGGCTGTTCCCGTTGCACTGGTGAATGTGTGGGCTCCCCTAGGCCTGCAGCCGTCATGCTGGCAGACAGGAGGGGGAGGTGGGGGCCATGCTGTGTGACAGGAAAAGTGTCAGAAAGTAGTGTTCTCCCCTCCACCCCAATAAACTGAGCTTGTGCTTACTGCATACTGATAGAAAATGATGTGGGAAACAGTTTATTCTAGCATGGTATTGCTGGTGCCTCCCAGGATGGAATGTGAGCGTGTGCTTCTTCTAAGGAGTTACGTTTCCTGAGTATTTAATGGATGTTGAATGCTCCCACCTGTGCCCTGCAGGTGGCTCACAGTGCTAATCAGCCTGTACCCATCTAAACCACTGTTACTGAGCAATTCGGAGCAGTTTGATCCTTCTTCTTGCTAGGTATGTAATACTACTGCTAATAGCCAAAGACTGCACTTATGCTTTCTTGTTTGTTTATTTGATGAACAAAGCATGTAGCTTGACTAGTAAAAGTGAGCTTTGATTTTTGTACTGTTCTGTGAAGCCTTGTGTTTGATTAGGACTCTTGAGGACAGCTTTGAGTTAGGCCCAAAGTACTGTCTGTCTGTTACAGATGCTGAATATACTTTCCATCTTTTTCTTTATGGTTTTCGTTTTGATTGTTGTTTTGTTTTTTTTTCCTCCCTCTACTTGTGGGGCACATATGATAAGGTACCACTGCTCTGTTTCCTACTGCAGTCTGACATCACCTCTTGCTCTAGACAAGCTGCCCTGCTGCCCACGGGCGCCACCTGTGACACAGCATGCTTGATTTTGTAACTACCATTCATACAGAGCTGCAAGGCTCCCAGATAGACTAAGGACTGTGTTTGGTCATCTGGTGGAGAAAATTAATTAAAGAATGTGTCAGGCTGGAGCAAGGAGGGAAAACTCAGTGATGTGGGATGGGAGGAGCCCTTTGTCCTGGCTCAGAGAGAGAAAGAGGGCAGAGAGCGCAGGCCTGCAGCGCTAGAAGATGGCAGGAGCATGTGAGGAGACGTAATGGTAAGGTGCGAGAACTGCGCAGTGAGCAACTTCTGGGCTGTTTTAGAGCTCAGAGCATGGGCTGCCGTGTTTTGCTGTGAATTTGGGTTTGAAGCATCAAGCTATTTGTGCTGGAGATGGGCCTTAGTCCAGGGCTGATAGGTGCTTGTTTGTGGGAAGTGTTGGGCTGCCAGTCGGGCCTGCTTTGCCTTGGTCTCTGGCATCTGCAGAGTGGGACTGTTGTATCTTAACAGAAATAGCTCTTTTAAAATTATACCTCTGCATCTCCTTGTGACAGACTTGCAGTGGCATGAAGGTTTGCTACTACGCCATCCTGTTCCCTAGAGCTGTATTGGCAAGTGGATTTTCCTATCAGCATAATTGCTCACTTCACACACTCAAGCCCTCTGATTTTTTTTCCTGTTTCCATTACTACCTGTCTTTTCCTTGCCTGAGAACAGGAAAGGGCAGAATCCCAAGTTTGAGAGAAGCTTATCTTGCTGTCCTAAAAAAAATTAGTAAATGTAGCCATCTAAATGCTTATAGGAGTTTCAGACGCCTTCAGGGCTTCTGGCTGACAAAAAGTGAATTGGGAACCTCTGGTATAAGCAGTCCACATGTGATCAGTCATTCTGTGATCACTTCTTTGTTGCTTTAAGCATGCACTACTCTTGGTTCCTGCTTTCATTCCTCTACTCGGTGTGGATACATCGCTGTATGCCCAGTGAGGTGCCCAGGTAAGGTGGTATGATGTTTGCATGGAATAAGATAACATTTTGAAATTGTCTTAAAAGCATAGTAGATATTTAACTACTGGCCTTTTAGTATCCTGACTTACAGTCGTAACAATGATCCCTGAAAAGCAGCAGCTTTAGGAGGATGTTTAAATATTCATCCCATATCGCAGTTTCTACTTTTACTACGTGTGTAGGTGTGCAGGGGGACACGTGCAGGAACGCGATGGTTTGTGTCCCCTGTGAGTGTTTGGTGTAGAGCAGCTGGAACGTGTTTGTGGCAGCAGAGGGAGCTATCGACGCTTTTATGGATTATTCAAGAAAGCTTAGAGCGCGCGCCGAAATGTTTTAAAAGCACCGAGAAGCCCCAGTTCAATCAGAGGTACCTCATCTGCTGCTTAGTAATTGCATTTCGCTGCTCTGGGGCTGAGCAGCGGGGGCCCCGCCAGCAGGGCGCAGTGCTGGGGCGGGGGCTGCCCCGTTCCTGCCCTGTCCCCATCCCGTCCCCGGGGGGCAGAGCCGAGCCGAGCCCCACCGCTGTGCCCTTCCCGGAGCCGGGAAGTGGCTGCTGCAATTACTGAGAGGAACAACGCAAACCTCTCCTCAAGCCAAATTTTTAATCAAAGCAATGAGAGAGAACAGGACATGTGTGGCTCACGTCAAAACAATAGCTGTGCGCATCAGCTGCTAATTAACGCAAATGCGTGACTCTGGAAAAGCAATTCGCAATTAGGGTGGAATATGTGTATTTATTTTTATTTTGATTAACGTTGAGTTTTTTCTTTTTTGAAGCTGCTTTTACTAGCTGAGTTTCATACGCAAGCTTCAATAAACAGGAGATTAATCACTAGAAATTAACAATAACTGAAATGAGACGGCGTCATTGTTCTGGGAAAATGCACAGAATGCTTCATACATTAACCTTTGTGTCACTTGTATCTACCAAACTGTAATTCACTGGGTTAACAGCCTATAATGTTTCCTTCGTTCTGGAGGTGGATACTGGGGGTAGAGATGGAGAAACCTGCACTGGTTTTGGCCACAGCGAAGGCTTTTAATACAGCAGCAGACCTTGAATTGGAAATGCCAAAATTTGCATACATCTCTGAAGATTTTTCTGAAGGTTTTTATCCTCCTCTTCTTCTTCTTCTTCTTTTTCCCTTTTTT